CTCAATTTGTGAAATAACATGCCAGTGAAATAACACACGATTTATAATTTGGGGTTAATTCGGGGGAAGCATGGGGGAAGGTAGCTATAGACCTGATGCACACAGATGGAGACTTTTGTTACAGATGAAATGAGGAATTTCCAGAGGAAGAAAACAGCACTCTTAGGGGAAAATGCACATCTTGGGGACGACTCCAAAGACAACCATGAGAACTTGGGTGAGGGCACAGGAAAAGCTGAGAGTGTGCCTTCAGAAGAAAGGAAAACTAACTGTCTTTAACTTGGCAGGAAAATGTCTTGGGGTACAGCATGGTGTCTGTTGACGTCATCTTCTTCAAAGTTTATTCTCCTCTTGGTTACACCAGAGAAGATTAACTTTATAGGATGCTGGTATACTTTGACATAAGAAGAATAAATTTCCCTTCTGTTACCTTTTGGCACATCCCTAAAGGCAGTCAGGATACAAATGTCTGTTCCGCTTTTCCGATGACACAGAAACGCTCCCATTCAGAACTACAGCTGGTATATCCCACAACATGACTAAAAGGCCAGAAGCAGGACTCAGCCACACGCACCATGGGCTCTGCTGTGCAGCTCTCAGGGCCAATGGCAGTCTCAATATGGAGTCCTGCGTACCACTTGATTTTTTCATGTGTGCCTGTATATGTTCATATTCGTACATATATAAGAAAAGAAATGACAATTGCACAGCAAAGCATTTCTGCAATGTACAACATAAAAACATCCAAAGTGATACAGTGGAAGTTGTTTCTTCATCACCCCTGACAATTATTAGGGTTCCTTCTGTGTTTGTCCAGACATATTTTATCTGGGCACCATCACCAGCCTGTTCCTTTTCCTTCCATAGTCAAGCACTTTTTCCCAGACAACTTTGTGTATTTAAAAGTATCCAATTATAGGGCTCCTGGGTGGCTCAGTGGGTTAAAGCCTCTGCCTTCAGCTCAGGTCATGATCCCAGGGTCCTGGGATCGAGCCCCACATCGGGCTCTCTGCTCAGCAAGGAACCTGCTTCCCCTTCTCTCTGTCTCTGCCTGCCTCTCTGCCTACTTGTGATCTCTGTCTGTCAAATAAATAAAATCTTAAAAAAAAAAAAGTATCCAATTATAGTCACTGGCCATGCAGATCAGGGCGGCCGGAGCCAGTGGTCCTGCACTCTGAGATGCATCAGAGCCTTATTAAAAATGTCTGGATCCCCTTGAAGCCCTGCTCACACCTAAGTTTACCAGGAGGTTTGGGTAGGAATGGGGTTGAATGGCTTCATCTTCTAGAAAATTAGGAGTGTGGGTAAAAAAAAGCAAATATTTCAGAGCTTTGAGTCCTACCCCTACTCGTGGTCATCATTAATCAGCTTTGCTTGGAATACACCTCGGGTGGAATGCCAGTCTGGCTGTGAATTGCACCAAGCACTCTTAGGTGGGAACGTGGACCATCCCTCGCTGTACACTTTAAGTGCCTTTTCCTTCAGGGCCTAAATAAATGCACCTGTGATATGCCAGAAATAAATGAAATCAAAGTATCCTATTATATATTAAACATGAAAAACAAGTAACAGTAGTGTCTATAGTTTCCATTTTTGTAAACTAGTAATACATTAGAAGAAAAATGTAGCACTGTAACATACCAGCCGTTAACAGTGTTACCCAGGGTGAGGTTATTAGGTACGGGATAGGGGTGGTGTGGCGTGAGGAATGGACTTTCTTCAGTAACCAGCTCAGAGTTATGTGAACTTACTAAAATAAGAGCATATCTTAATTCCATAAGAAATAAATACTATTTTAATGTACACTTAAGCTTTTAGGTGGTCTGCTGAGTATGGAACTATGTATGTGTGTGGGAGGACTTTGTTTCTTTAGCTTTCAGTTGTCTTTCTAAGGCCTTACTGAACTGTCCTCTGTTCTTACTTGGAAATAAGTCTATACCAAGTTGATTAAAAAAAAAAAAACAACACTCTTAGAGCAGAGTGGTTTTTAGTCAAGCCACAGGGCCTTCACAAGTAAGTTAACCAAAAAGCAGAGAGATTGGGGGGGACGGGGGAAGGGATGGCAGAGTCCATGTTAAATCATGTAGATTTTATGTTGAGTCTTAAATCCCTCTAGGTTTCCTTTCATACTTTTCAGAATACTCTGCAGTTGACAACACCACCACCACCACCAACAAAATACAATTAGAATAACCATCTGCAGTTTTTAACTAGTGATACTAATTTTGTATCCTAACTAGTTGAGGCATTTGGTTTCCAACTTAAGGGATCACACAAAGTATATATAATGGTTAAGAATGTACTGGGCACTGAGCATCTCTCGAGAGCTACTTGAGGGAATAGTCGTAGTGAATTTAAAAAAGTAGTACTCACCTACGGATTCATCCTATTTCTCTGAATGTGTCTTGTAAAAATCAGTTATAAGCTGGAATATTTCACCTGGTAAAATTTTATTTTTAATGTTATTCATAAACATATGAAACATGAAGGGACTCTCAGTGTCCAAAATGGGTAGTTAGACAAATTTTGGTATGTAACTAGGCCCATGATAATTTATCATGGGCTGCTAGCTTCAGTAAATAAAGTTTTGAAGACAGTTGATAGCATGAGAAATTATGTATTTATTTATTTTTTAAAGATTATTTATTTATTTGATAGAGATCACAAGTAGGCAGAGAGGCAGGCAGAGAGAGGAAGGGAAACAGACTCTCTGCTGAGCAGGAGCCCAGAGGCGGGGCTTGATCCCAGGACTCTGGGATCATGACCTGAGCTGAAGGCAGAGGCATTAACCCACTGAGCTACCCAGGTGCCCCGAGAAATTATTTAATAACAAAATTATATTAAATATAAAAGGATGATTTAAATCTTCACACCTTAATTTGTCAAAAGTGGGTATTGTATATTTATATATATATATATATATATATATAAATGAGTTGGTAAAGAAAATAATGATTTAGGTTTTTTTTTTCCTTTTTTCTAAGCTATTGGTAGGAATAGTTTTTAAATGATTTCCTTCCCATAGAATAGCTGAGAATTCGAGTCCTTAGAAGGATTCTCTGATTTCAAATATTGTCCATAATTTTTGAAATTCTGTTTTGGTACCATATCTGTTTATTCCAGTGTTACTGAGATGTAACTGACATATGGCATGTGTAAGTTGTACAGCATAATGACGTGATTGACTTGATTTACTTGTGTCATGACCATGAACCAAAATAGTTTCACTAGTATCCATCATCTTATGTAATTGATTTTAGTCTTTAAAAAAATCCAAAGATGGGGGTGCCTGGGTAGCTCAGTGGGTTAAAGCCTCTGCCTTTGGCTCTGGTCATGATCTCAGGGTCCTGGGATAAACCCCTGCATTGGGCTCTCCGCTCAGCGGGGAGCCTGCTTCCTCCTCTCTCTCTCTCTCTCTGTTTGCCTCTCTGCCTACTTGTGATCTCTGTCAAATAAATAAACAAAAAAAATTTTTAAAAATCCAAAGATGAACTTGGGTTGGCAGTAATTCTTTTGGTCCAATGGACTTCTGCTGTCTTCACTGCTTAGAGAGCAGCCTTTTGTCATTGGGCTTTATAAGTTCCACTACAGAGCCACCTTCATTCACTAATCTTAGTCTTTTCTCACATGAGGGACATCTTTATGAGTTAGACTTCTGTAAATTTTTTCTGGTTCCCAGATGTATTTTCTATTTTAAGGCAGAGAAGCTTGTCATTATTTTCAAGTGATATTAAATTTCCAGTGTAATTATTTAAAAGCCAGAGAGAGACCTATTGATCCCTGATAAGGTATAGTTCTGTGCGCACGTGTGTTTACTCCTACTGCTCCTTAGTTTAACTGTTCATAATATGCCCACCGTGGATTCATTATGTTATAAGTCAGGGACAAGTGGCATTTGTGTATGTCCGCTCTGTGAGTGTGAATCGATAGATGATAGATGAATGCACATCCTGGTGGTAATATAAAATAGAAGCCGTGCATGTGTGTGTGTGTGTGTGTGTGTGTGTGTGTGGTCATGATTGAAGTTCAAAGTCATGGAGAGGCAGTGGAGTAAGTTGCAAGACAGCCCTTTCCTTGAAGGGATTGTGCTTGAGTACGAAACAGAACTCTCTGTGTTCGTTTTACACTTCTATTTGATGGAATCTAAGGTTATGGAAATGAGTATAAAAATAATTTGTCTGAAAGAAGTCTGGATGCAGAAATCTAATAGAGAAAATATTTGAGAATATGGTTCCTCAGCGAGTACAACAGATATACTTCCCCGAGCACCACATGGCGTGGATCAAAGCATCCCATGACTTGGATCCTTGTGGTCAAATCATTATGTATTGATTGGAACCCCACTGGAGGATTAACCCCTCGTGTTCATGCTAAGTTTTTTCTCACTCTTGGTGTCTGTAATTTTAGGGATATAATCTTTTTGCTGTTATCAGTATCTTTTTAAAGCTAATCATTTGCTTGGATATATTTGTGTTTCTAAATTATTTTATTCTAAATTATTTAATTTCTCTATTCTTTGCTAGATAAAATTAATTTATGAAAAGATCATACAATTATGTGAAAGCAGTTTTCTGGTGGAGAGGAGGAAGAAAATGTATAATACTCTGGGTAGAAAACAGCAAGAGAATCTCAAAATCAAGTACAGACTTTTATCATTTTCATTATGTAGATTAAATGATAAATTCTAGCTTTTTAAAGAATCCTTCACAGTCTGAGTAGAGAGCTTTGCCTCTAACAAAAGCCTGTCAAACACTTTTCATATATGGTGGTTACATTTCTAACATTGGACTATTCACATCTTGGAATTTAACTCTTGCTTTCAAAGAACAATTCAGAATTAATTAGTAAATTCATGGGGGAAAAGAAACCCTCGATTCCTCCATGTCCACTTTCAGCCATGTGGGTTCTTCTTGCCTTTTAAGTCTGATGGGATCGTTCTTGGCAACATATTCATTCTCTTGTCCTTTTGTGTGTGTGTGTGTGTGTGTTTTTTTTTTCAGTTTGTCCCATGAGGAGCACCCCCATAGCCATCCTCTCTATGGACATGGTGTATGCAAGTGGCCAGGCTGTGAAGCAGTGTGCGAAGATTTCCAATCATTTCTAAAGTAAGAATGATTTTATATTGCTTTTTTCTTTTACATAGCCATCACCTCCCACTGTTCATGCTTTTTCTCATAAAATGCCTTTTTGATGGAGGGTTTCATACCACCATTTTGAGAATGGACTCTAAATCATAAGGTCTAGCACATTGTCATAGGAGTAGTTACAGAATCTGTGGAGGGTTGATTGTAAAGGGCAAAGGAGGTATAACCAAGGATAGTTTTGATGCTCTTCGTGCGAGTCTGTGTTTACCCGTTTTCTCAGAATGATAGTGATTAAATAAAAATTCTCCCAGTATTAAATTAGCAATAATTTATTTTTCACTTTTATTCATGTGTCTGCATACTGAATCACTGACCTACTAACTCTAATTTTTTAGAACTGCTATCAGTGACTGGCTAGTTGTAGCTTGGTGATTGGTCCTCTTTATTTTTCTGCAAATGACTTTACACACTTAAGAAATAGGTGCCTTATGCTTTTGAAATAAATTTCCTTTTGTAAAAAAAAAAAAAAAAGAAAGAAAGAAAGAAAAGAAAAGAAAGAAAGAAATGGGTGCCAAGGAAATGCTACCACCTTGCTTCTTACCTTTCCATGTTGGCGTTCACTTTAGTTCAGATTCATGTCCTTATGGTGAGAATGGAGTAACTTTAATTTCTCCAGTTACAGTAGGACTGAAAACTTGGGTTGTTCCATTTGAATCTGTAACACTGTTAAAGTGTCTCTGGAAATAAATGATACATGAATCTTCTCCTAATTGAAATGAAAGGCTTCTGCACTACATCTTACTATTTCCCTTCCCTACAGTGACCTTGTCCTTTAATAAAATGTAGACTAAACTGCCCTGTGTTATGGACACCCTCATAGATTTATTGATAGTATCACTGAATCACTGACATACCAAATATAATAATACATTGTGTTCAGCATATTTACCGATCATGCCGTAATCCGGTATACGCACACGTATCCGTCCTCTATATCTGGCTTCATGATAGCTTACAAATTTGGTATTTGGGGATCTTTCCTTCTGTCTTTTCTGTCTTATTCAAGCCTCTAAAACTAGAAGCAGGCAGATTTATGTGCAGTTTTCTGGTTCTGTGCAGTCTTTATATTGTTAAAACAATCTCTATATTTAACTTTATGGACCTGGATACAAATCTTATAAACCTGCCATTGAAAGTACATCCAGTGTTACCTGAAGGGGGCCTTGGTGAATATCATTTTTTAATTAAGGAAGCCTGTGAATCTATGTCAGAGCTTCCCAACTATAACATTTTACTTGAAAAGCATGGGGGGTGGTCCTTAGAAACTTAAGTACTTAAAAATTTTTTTTAAAAAGGAGATGCCTGAAATTTGTTTTAAATATCAACAATCAAGATCAGTAAGCAAAAGCCCTTCACAATTCTTGTGATTCAAGTTACTGTTATTGGGCTTTGTTCTCTCATAAATCACTCACTATAAATCATTGTTTTGTTATTACCTAATTGTATTTAGAGAATGAAAGAAAAAGACCTCAGCAGAAGCCACTTTCAAATTCTGACTTCACCTTCTTCACCAGTGCTAGCTTTGAGAAATGCATGGGTGCTAATTTCGCTCATCTTTAGAACGGCTGATAACCATCTGTAAATAAGATTTATTTTCATAAAGTCTCTAGAAATATACAATTGCTATGAATATTCTCAGTGTATCTGTTTCTGAGTCACAAGGGAAAGGGGCAGTTTTCCAATATGATCCATTTTTAAAATGTTGTTTATTACCAAAGTATTTCCACCCTCATCCTCAAATCCAAAGTCCATTATGTAAATGGACAATTAGGTGATATCTATAGATAGAAAGAGATAGATATATACATATATATATAATGTATATGTGTTTTATATATAATTTTATTATATAATATATATTTATTACATGTAATATTACATATATTACATATATAATCTTTTTTTTTTTCTTCTCTGCCTCCACCATGAGATAGTAAACTTTCAAACCACACCTCATACTAAAGAAGAGAACCTAAAGATCATCAGAATTGGGACCTAGAGTAATTCCTTTTTTTTAAAAAAAAAACCCTTTTAAGGATAGTAGAGGAGTCTGGCTCTTTATAGGAAACCACCTCTAAATTATATATTGCGGTTTTGCTCATGAAATGACATGTTTTCAGTTCGCATTTGCTCAGTGGAATTGGAATGCCCACTGTGAACCTGCACCTGTTGCTTGTTGATTTCCTGGGACTTAGTTGTGGACTTGTATTTGTTAGAAGACTTCTGTTCGCACGCTACAGAAGCCTGACGTAAATTGGCTTAACCCTCATCCTTTCCCCCCACTCAAAAAAATCGGGGGGATTTTCCCCTAAAATATTAGGGAATTATCATTCCCTAATGATAATTGACTCTTGTTACTGGGACATCCGTGGCTGCATTCAGATCCTTCAGCGGTGTTACCGGAGAATTGGTTCTGTGTCTTTTAGCTCAGTTTTCTTCTGCGTTGCCGTCGTTCTTAGGATCGTTCCAAGTAGAGCTAAGGAGGACGATGCCATGCCGTTAAGTTTATTCGTCTCAGAGCGCATCTCTTTCCTCCGTAGTTCCAGCAGCAGTCCTGAGCAGACTCTCCTTGACCCAGATTGAGTCACGTGTTCCAGCTTTGAGCCCGCCACAGTGATGTAGCCCGGCTCCCATCAGATGCGCACCTCCAGAGCAGACAGGGAAGTGTTAACCCCCATGAACCACGTGGGGGCTAGGGAGGAGGGACTTGGTCCCTGAGTGCAAGAAAGGAGTACGTAAATCAGCAAAGGGAGAGTAAATTCTGAAGAGGAAAAAACAAAACGAAACAAAAAACTCTGGAACTCACTGTTCTCTTACTGCTTTCCTTCTTTCCACATCAGTTGGCTGTATATTCCTCTCCAGCATGATTTTAGTTCTTGGAAATTCAGACTTGTCTTCAGGTTTCCATGTCTTGCTTAATGTAGTGGAAAATAAGTTCGTCTTCTCGCAGACTCACTTCTCCCCCATCTGTGTGCCGTCTAAAGCGGAATCACCCTGGCTTTAGTGAAACCAACTTTGCTTTCCATTGATCTGGTCTGGAAGAGCTACTGTATTTCGTGTGGGTCAAAGAGAAACCACGTGGCCTCTGACTCACGTCCCCGTGGAGTCACTGTTATTGGGAAGTGATGTTTTAAGCATTTCTTCTCCACCTGTGCAAGAGTGTAGATCCTGGAAGCACACCTTTCTTGGGTTAACTCTTTTTTTCCATTATCCCTCCCTAGAGGTGTTTTCTCATGGTTTCGGCAGGTTGATAACCAGCAGCGTTTGGCTTCTCTGAGGCACTCTTATTAACAAAATGTAGCATTGCTCAGACCTTGACTTAGTTGTGGCTTTCTAGTTTTGTTTTTTTGTTTTTTTGGTTTTTTTCAACCTATCTCCTGGTCCCCTGATTCTATACTCCCTTAGTAAGGGTTTATAATTAAACATCTGTACAGCAGGGACAGTTCCAAGTACTTCCCACATGCTGTTGACCCCAAACACAGATTTGTTGCAGAGATCCACTTACATGCAAATTCTTTTTCCCCAATAAATATAGTATTTTTATAAATATATTTCCTTTCCTTATGATTTTCTTAGTATTTTCTGTTATAGCTTACTTTATTGGAAGACACTATATAATACATACAATATATATAAATATGTGTTAATTGACTTTTTATGCTGTTGGTCAGGCCTCCTGTGAACAGTAGGATACTAGTAAAGTTTTTGGGGAGTCAGAATTACAGATTTTTGCTCGCTGAGGGGGTCAGTGTTCCTAACTCCCACCTTTTTCAAGGGGGTCAACTGTATAACTCATTTAGTCCTTACGCCACCCTGATAATTAAGGTTTTACTCTCAACCTACAGATAAGGAAACTGACACAGAGGGGTTAAGTGATTTTCCCCAGCGTCACACAGCTAATGAGAGGTGGAGTCAGGATCCAAACCCAAGCTGTCTGCCTTTGTAATGCTTGCTCTTAACTGCTATGCAATACTGCCTGGTTTAGAAGCGGTGCAGTTTATTAACTGTATCCTTTCAACTTAAGGCAGTAGGTGTAGAAAAAGCTTTGAAGCAAAGGCAGATTGGGTGGTGAAGCCACTTTGTATTAGTGTGTTCAGTGAACTAGTTACACAGCATCTCTGAGCACCAATATCCACCCACATAATTTGGGACAATAATCTTAGTACCCCACCTCTCAGGCTTGTTGGAATTAAGAGACACATCATGTAAAGTGCCTGACCAGGCACTCTTTAAAAATATATTAGTACTTCTTATTTATTCACTTAAGTATATTTTTAAAGGAGGAATAATTTTATTTAAGTATATTTTTAAGTATATTTTTAAAGGAGGAATAATTTTAGAAATCCAAATGTTTCTAAGGGCGCCTTGGTGGCTCAGGTTGTTAAGCGTCTGCCTTTGGCTCAGGTTGCGATCTCAGGATTCTGGGATCGAGCCCTGCATGAGGCTCTCTGTTCAGCGGGGGGCCTGCCTCCCTGTGTCTTCCGCACCCGGTCCCCGCACCTCTCCACCTACTTGTGATCTCTCTCTCTGTCAAACAAATAAATAAAATCTTTAAAAATTAAAAAAAAAGAAATCCAAATATTTCTGACCATTAGGGAAGGTATCATGACACTGCAGAGCATTCATCTGTCACAAGAGACTGATCTTTAATATAATTTTTTAACCATAAAGTTCTTGTCAAAAGTCCCACACAGTCAAATGTGATTGTGGGGCGGGGGGGCGGGGACACAGAATGGCAGGCTTTTTCTGTAAGGGATCAGACAGTAAATACGCTGGGTTTCACAGCTCCTCACCTCTGCCATTGTAGGCATAAAAGCAGCCATAGGACCAGATGTAAGGAATGGGCATTTAGATTGCTGACCTCTGACCCAGGGTAAAGTTTTTTGGTGTCATAACCTTCATAGCTGGGAAATCTTTCTGCGTTTCTGTGGCCGTTGCTGTTCTGGGTTATTGCAGTCTAG